GGGGGCTGCTTAATCGCCAGGGCTATCTTCCTGGAGGACACAGTATACTTTAGGGAGCAAGAGGCAGAAGGGGTGGATTTCCCAAACACACAAGGGCAGCACAGACAGCCAGGACTCTGCCAGCTGAGGGCCCATCACCAGGACTTTAGGAATGAATTTCGTCTCTGGGGAGAGGACCCCAACCCCGAGAGGCCCCTGACCACCCTGAGCTCAGAGCCAGCTTACTGGGTACAGACTACGTGGGGGCAGCACCCAGCAGGCTTGGTGGCACATACCTGTGACCACAGTGTGCTGGGAGGCTGTGGCAGGAGGATCTCAAGTTTGAGCCCAGCCTGGGCAATTTAGTGCCTTAGAGGGCCCCTGCCTCAAAGGAAAATGCAATATAAAAAAAGGGCTCGGGGCAAGGACCCTGGGTTCAATATAATATATTATAAAATATAATAAATATAAAAACAAATAAATATAAAAACAAACAAAAAGGAGCTGAATCTATCCTGGCCTGCACCACAGGACACAGCCACATGCCACTAGGGAAAAAAGGCCAGGGCCTCAGACAGGTCCAGGCCTGGGTGGGAGCCAGCAGGAGGGGACATTCACAGAATTTATTAGGTTTCAGAGAGGGGTATAGGGGAACTGCAGGAGAGAGGCAGGGGAGGGGATAGAAGGGTCAGGGCTAGGAGGGCAAGGGGAAGACTTCTGGAAGGGCAAGAGTTGGCTATGGAGGACCCTGGAGCTGTCCCTGAGATAAGACTTAGCCAGGTGGCAGTGGGGAGCCACTGAAGGTTAGAGACCAAGAGACACTTCTGTCCCAATAGGGACAAAGGAGACAAGGCCAAAGGCCTTATGGAAGACCCTGCTTCCTAGCTGCTGGCGCTGCAAGCACAGCAGGGGCCTGTCCTGCGCCAGGAACAAACGCGTCCCCTGTCCTTTCCCTGCTTGCTGCTGCCGCTCACCAGGCACTCGGTCCTGTCATGCTCCAAAGTCTGGTTACTCCAGTCCCTCACTTCATTCTCAGCTGAGTTTAGAGCGGCGCAGAGATGTGAACTTCAGTCTAGAATCTCGCAGCGCGGTGCAGCAAGCCGGCCTGTCGGACACGACACAATACCGCCCCTGCCGGCGGAGTCGGGCGCTCAGTCCCTTGGAAGAGATCCCAGCCCAGCTCCGCGAGCTCTTACAGGGATTCGCGTGCCCCGCAGGGCGGGGAAGGGCGGGGAAGCGCGGGCCACGCTAGTGGAACAGAACCCAGGCGGGCTCTTCCCTTGGCTTGGGCGGGGCCTGCACGACCACCCCAGGGGGCGCCCCCTTGCAGCCGCAGCTCCCCGAGCTGGGGGGGGGGGCTTTCAGGGCTTGCGTGGCGCTGGTCCTGACTCAGTCCGGCGTATTCCTTGGGGCTCCAGCCGCGGTCCCCGAAACGAACGCGCGAGCCAGTTGGTCCCCACCCCACCCCCACGCTGGGCCCGGGAGGACACACACAATCAGCTTGTTCTTTCGCCTGTGTGCTGGGGAGAAAGGCAGGCATGGAAGAAGTTTGACCCTGAGGTCTGGGGAAATCCCAGATGGAATGTGGCATGGAATCCAGGGGGACAAGGGAGGCGCCTGGGTCCCCGCCCCCGCGGCCCTCCCTCCTTCCCCACACAAGGGCCGCCCCCTCGCTGCCCAGCCTGGGGGCCCCTGAGCACACCAGGGCCAGACCTTAACTGCTAAGCGCGCCAGGGCATCACCCACCTTCTCAGAGGAACACCGAGGGCGGTTTGGGGGCGCAGGGGGTTAAGAGTTTGAGACTGCACTTTGTCCTCTGGAAAGCTGTGAGGGCCCTGGAGAGTCGCTGGGGACAAATGTCTAGTCTGTGACATTTTGGAGGTGTAGGTAGGCTGCAGTCTTCACGAATAAATATATAGGACTCTCAACATTGAGTTTCAGATAAACAATGGATAATTTTCTTTCAGAATAAGTATACCGGGGCCAGGAAGAGGTCAGTAGAATAAGCGCTTGCCTGGCAAGTGCAGGGTCCTGAGTTCAATCCCCCGTACCACAAAAAAAAAAAAAAAAAAAAAAAAAAGTATACCCCATGTGATAACCTAAAATTTATTTGTTGTTTATAAGAAATTCAGGGCCGGGGAGATGGCTCCGTGGAATAAGCGCTTCCCAGCAAGCGCAAGGGCCTGAGTTCAATCCCTGGTTTCCACCAAAAAGAAAAAAGAAATTCAAATTTAATTAGGTGTGGCCAGGAGTGGTGGTGCATGCCTGTAATCCCAACACTTGGGAGGCTGAGGCAGGAGGATGGCTGGGAGTTCAAGATCAGCCTGGGCTACAAAGTGAGCTCAAGGCCAGCCTGAACTGCATGCATAGTAAGACCCTGTCTCAAAAAGACAAATAAATAAATAAGAGGGGTGTGTGTGTGTGTGTGTGTGTGTGTGTGTGTTTCACTGGGGATAAAATTCAGGACCACCCATAGCCCTTTTCACTTTTTACTTTGAGTCCTAGTCTTGTTATGTTGCTACACTGCCCAGACTGGGCTCAAACTAGAGATTCTCCTGCCTCAGCCTCCCAGCCTCCCATCCTCCCCCCAAAGGCTTCTCAGCTCTTCTTTCAGCCTGGGTGGGGTCTACAGGGGGGTGTAAGTATATGCCAGGCCATGGGACTGCAGCAGGTGGCCCCAGAAACCCAGATACATGGGCAGCATTGACAGAAGTTTCCAGCAGTCTGTAGACTGGGGGCCCAAGGCCGGGGGACTCTGGGGTCTGATGAAACTGCAGGGAAGGAGGCCAGGGCCCAACACCCCCAGCCCGTAATTGCTCTTGGCTCCGGAGAGGGAAACTTCTGTTTTTAAGGGCCAAAAGGGGCCCAGAGATGAGAAACAGTCTAAGAGAGGGACACGTGCTAGGGAGAGACCAGTTACTGGGGGAGACCAGGCTGGGCGTAGGACCAACAGGGAAATAGCCGCCGGTAGAAAACACACAGCAGAAGCTGACACTGACAGAGGGTACTGCAGGGGAAAACTGGGACACCCACAAGTCGGGAGAGTACTCCGGAGGCTGAGGCAGGAGGATCTCCTGAGACAGGAGACCCTGTCTCAACTCCTAACCTACCAGAAAGAAGATGCTCAGGGGCCAGCCAAATAGCTCAGCGGATTAAAGCACCTGCAGTGCAAGAACTGGGGTTGGATCCCCGGCCTGCAGTACCGGCCCCGCCCCCAGGGCGTGCTGAGAGAGCAATTGAGACTGGGCAGGGTGCAGAGGGCTGTAATCCCAGCCCTTGGGAGGCTGTAAACAGGCGGATCACTGCCTGGAGTCCCATCTAGTAGTGAGACCCTGAACACCCTGTAGGCCCTTCCCTAAAAAATGAAAAAAAAAAAAAAAAAAAAAAGAAAAGAAAAGAAAAAAGAAAGAAAGTAAGTAGATGCTCAAAGTAGATGCTCAGGGAGACAGGAGGCAGAAGACTGGACGAAAGGAGAGATGAGGATCAGTCCATACAACAGACGAGGTGACTGCAACAGAGGAGAAGCACAGAAGGAATCTCTCTTTGGGAGCAAAGGCTGGATGAATCTCCGCCACTCCTAAGAGCTGGCCTCCTGGCCCTCCCCCGCGCGGGCTTCAGGGCTCCCGAAGTCCCTCCAGGGTCTCGGGCGATGCTGCCCCCTGGCGGCGCGTCCCCGTGACTCGGGGAAGCCTCCATGCCCGGGCCTTTGCGTCCCTGAGGGACCCAAAAGGAAAGGTCCCGGGGTTCAGGAGAAGGCTGGAGGACGCGAATCTCAAGTCAGTCCGAAACCTGCCGTGCTGCCCATGGTCCTGGAGTGACACTTCTCCCCCTACCCCCACTCCACACACCCCACCCCTGCCCAGCCCAGCTTTTACCTCGTGTCCCTCACCCTAGAGTGAAAATGTGGAGGGGCTCCCAGCAGCCTGGCACTTGTGTCTGCGCCCCTCTCCCACTCCCAGCCAGGCACAACACCCCAGTCTGCAGCCCGAAGGCAATCAACTGGGGCATGGGCAGCAAGAGGCTGCTCAGCAATCTTGAGCAGACCCTACATTTTTTTTGTACCGGATATTGAACTTAGGATCTCACCCTTACCAGGCAGGCGCGGCACTGCTGAGCTACATCTTTGGCTCAGACTCCATGCATTTTAGGGAAGGGTCTACAGAGTGTTCAGGGTCTCACTACTAGATGGGACTTGTAGTGATCCGCCTGTTTACAGCCTCCCACGAGCTGGGATTACTGGCGCCCGCCACCACGCCCAGATTTAATTGCTGTGTCAGTGTGCCCCTGGGGCGGGGCCAGCATGGCAGGTCCGGGATTGAACCCCTGGTCCCTGCTCCTGCCCTAATTTGTCCGGCCCTATTTTTTTTTTTTTTTTTTTTTTAAACACGTAGTCACTCTATGCAGTTCAGGCTGCCCTTCAACTCACTATGTAACTGAGGCTGGCCTCGACCTCGCATTGATCCACATGCTTCTGTCTGCCCCCAATGCTGGGATGATGGGTGAGCGTCACCACGCCCCGCCATTCACGGTTTTAGAACAGCAATCCAGGGCCGGCCAGATAGCTCAGCAGATTAAAGCACCTGTTTAGGTAGATGCTGGGGCTGGGTGTTCCATCCAGGGCCTGCTGTGCCGGCCCCGCCCCCAGGGCGCGCTAAAACAGCGATTGAGACTAGGCGTGGTGTCGCATGCCTGTAATCCCATCATTTGGGAGGTTGAAAAACAGGAGGATCACTATGAGTTCGATCTGCGCAGTGAGACCCTGTAGAACCTGTCCTAAATACATAATAAGTAAATAATCAAGCCTACCTCCCAATTCCTGAAACTCTACACAGCGCCTCTCCCTGCTCCACCCCTAACCTGATCTTCCCCCTCTCCTCCCCTCCTTTCCTCTTCCCCCACCCCTTCCCCGCCCCTGCCGCACCCAGGTGCCCCAGGCCCGCCTCCTCCCAGGCCCGGCCATAGGTGCAGAGAAGTGGGCGGGGTCATGGCACAGTCTCTTCTCTGCCCTTCCTCACCCGAGCTCAGTGCGCCGCCGGGGTCAGGATGTCCGACGGCAGGGTCCCGGGCCTCGGGCCCACCCTGCTGCTCACACTGCTGTGCGGCCTTCTCTGGACCAGCGCTTGGGAGGTAAGGCTGCTGTGCTTGGGGCTCTGCATGGAGACGCAGGGCCCCGCTGTGAGCCGCTCCCCGCCGTCCCTTGTCGGTTTCCTTCTGACCACGCGCAGGTTGGAAACTTCCTTTCTCTTTCTGCGGTGGGAGGCCCTGGGCGGCCTCACCTTGGAGGGTGGAGTAGGGAACCTTGGAGGGTAGAGTCTGACCGGCCGCGACAGCCCATCGATTCCCAGGCCTGCCTGTGGGGACTTTGACCTGCTTGGCTTGCTTTCCAGCTTCCTCTGGTTGACGATGATCCTCCCTGGCTGGGTGTCCTTAGGGTGGTCCCAGCCCTGTCTGGGACGGGTTCTCTGCTTTTGCCCTGCAGGAGGGGAGGCCCAGGGCCTCTTCCCAGTCGGGCCGCATTCCAGCCTGCGGTGATCCCCTGACCTCTGCCTGACCTTGCAGTGTGACCCAGCAGAGATGGGTGGCCCTGGGCTAGGTCGAAGGTGCTGACTCCTGGGCGGGTTCCTCGCACTGATGGTCCCCAAGAGATGGGAGTGCTGCAGGTCAGCCTGCACGCTGGCACATAAAACCGGAACGCGTGCTGCAGCTTCGTGCAGCTGGAGACTCCGAGGGCGGTGCTGCGCTGCACCCCACGCTGGGCGTGCCTACCTCAGCCAGAGCCCACCTGCCTCCAGAACAGGGCCGGGTTCCCACCACACCCTGGACCTTCCGCTGGTTGATTTGGCCCAACACCTCCGAGGAGCCAGGGGGCGGACGCTGTCCACGCCCATCCTGAGCGAGGAAACCGCGGACCTCAACTTCCACCCCACCCCATGGCTTCCAAAAACTCAGGCTCTGAACAACCCCAGCAGGACCATCCCCATTTAAAATAGGGCGAGATAAAGGGGAGAAGACGCTCCCCCAAGCTGGAAGTGGGGGTTTATGAGACCTGTTAATTGTCCTTTACTTCTCAATTGAGCTCTTGGGGAAGGGTGCCCCGCACCGCCCCAGGGCCACTTCGGTTTGTGTGGGACTGTGGGGCCGCCCCTGTGCAGTGTGATTGGGAGGCCCGCACCCTCCAGGCCGCGCGGACTTTGGGGGTCCTTCTTCCTGCTGCTGTTCCTGTCCCCCTTAAAAGGCCAGGCTTGTAAAGAGCTGCTGAGCCTGAGCATGGTAAAGAGTCAAGCCACTACCTCTGGTCACAGACACTCTTATCTTTACTGGTGTGATTAGAAAATGAAATGCTACTTTAATTATTTTAAGGAAAAGATAAAGACAAGGGTTTTAGAGGGAGGATACCGGAGATTAAATCCAGGGTCTTCATCTCCAGCTCTTTGCATTTTGAGATTAGAGTCACTAAATTGCTCAGGGTGGTTTTGAGTTTTTGATCCTCCTTCCTCAGCCTCCCCTAGTGCTAGAACTGTAAGTGTCCTCCGGCACAATGGCCTACCTTCCTATTCTTGAGCTCTGGTTGTTTGACTCAAGTGGCTAGGGGAGGGAAAACCCTGTCGTATCCTATGTCCCTGTACCTTTGTCGCTCCCAGACCCTCAGCCTAGGGGGGACAAGATGAAATCAGGTGATCATATTTGTTCATTCATCCTGCAAATATCTGGACTGTTGGGTTTCCAACAGTGATCAAAACAGAAAGCTCCCAGCTCGTGTGAAGTTTACATTCTACCAGGGAGACACTTAATGAGATCAACAACATAGGATGCTGGACGTTGGTACTGAGCAGTTGAACTGCCAGGGAAGGGGAACTTGGCTGTGGTGTCATCAGTGTGGTTGGGGAGGAAGGTGCCTAACAGCCTTGAGACACCTGGGAGTGGGGGAAGGCAGGGGCCACAAACCCCGTTGTGCAGTTCTGGCTGGGTGCCCTGAAAGCCCTGCAGAGCTGGTACAGAGGAGGAGGAAGGGAGGCTGAGGCAGGAGGGTGGAATGTTCAAGCCAGGCTGGGCAACATCTGGAGACCCAGTCTCCAAGCGCTGAGCATGTAGTTCAGTGGAGAGCGCTCTCAGGCATGTGTGAGACCCCGGACTCATCCACAGGGAAAGTTGCCTATCCTTGCACTACAGCAGTCTTGGGTAAGAACTTGGATGGTGGCCGGGAGCTGCCAGCCTAGGGGATGGGAATATGCTGGGGGCAGGGGTAAGAGGAAGGAGAGCCTGCTGGCCAGGCGCAGCAGGACTCCAGTTGTGGACTTGGGCTACACCTGGATGGGTTCCAGGGGAGATACCACCTTCAGTTCATGAGTCCTGACCTCTGCCTTTTCTTCCGTAGACTTCATCCAAGGCCAAGTGTCGCTTTTTGTAAGTCCGGGACTGGCTGTGACTGGGGTGGTAGGCAGGCCGGGGTCAAGGTCCAGCCCCCCCATCCTCCTCACCCCCTACCGCAGCACTGACTGAGATACATCCCTCCCTCCACCTTCCCTCCTGTCCTGGCCACGAGGGGCTTTGCTCCCTGGGACAGGTCACTCGTGTAACCCTGACCTCCTTCCTGTAGGATCAGGCCACCTCTCCTGAGGGTCCCCAAGAGGACAGTGGGCCAACAGTGCTGGTGTATAAATAAGTTCCCAGCAGCTGAGCACATTGAGAAGCGGCTGGGGCAGCGTGTCTATGGTGTTGGCACTGGGTGCCCAGACACCTGTCGCCTGCCCACCCTGAGCTCTGTGGGCACCACGGGGGCTCGCTCCTCCCACACTTAGCTCCCAGCTTCTGGCGCTACCTGTCTTTCTCTGTCCTTTTCAGTCAATTGAGCGAGCGAAGTCAGAGCCATTGCAGCCCTCAAGCCCCACCTGCCCAGGGTGCTGGGAGGGGCGCTGGTTGGTACTGCACAGTGCCAGCCAGTCCAGGGCAGGGGATCTCCCTGCCCACCTACTCTAGTGCCAGCACCCTTTTCCCACTCCTCCCCAGAACCTGCCCTAAAGGATACGAGTGCTGTGAAGAGGGATGCTGCCCCAAGTCTTTCTTCATGAGCCCCCTGAGGTGAGCCCAGGGCCAGCCGCTGCAGGCATGGGCCTCGGCAAGGATGGGGGTCATTCCTTTGTGGGCTGGTGGCCTGGCCAGTTAGGAGTGATGGCCAGTGTCCCTGCCACAGGAACTTCCTCATCTGCCTCTTTGTCATTGTGCCCATCCTGTGCTGCTGCGGTATGGCTAAGCACTTCTGCATGAAGCGCTACCACAGAGCGCTACAGCAGGGCCAAGAGGGGGCTCACCCGCAGCCCCCAAGCCCAGCCGCCACTGCCTCCCCAGAAGAGATCCAGGCAGCCATCTTCGGGCCCCCTCCCCCCTACAGTGAGGTGAGTCTGCTCGTGCCAGGCCCTGCCACAAGTCCCGTGTCATCCTCCCCTGGACAGCCACACTGGCAGCCGTGGAGCCAGGTCCTGGGAAGACCAAGTGTCCTCTTCCCCTGCAGGTGTTTCCGAAGCCCACCCTGTCCCCACCTCCCATGGAGCCCCCACCTCCCTACAGCCTCAGGCCTGAGGACCACACCAGCATGCAGGGTGGCATCGACAACCTGGCCTCTGACCTGGCACTTCACCGGTGACCCTCGGAGCAAGCCAGGGACAACTGGGACTCCCGTATGGCTCCCTGACACCTAGCCACAACTTTCCCTTGGATTTAACTTATTGCTTTTCCTACCCCTGTTCCTCCCAACCCTCCCCCTTGTCCTGGGGCCAGGATAGAGCTAGAGCACTGTCTTCATTCTTCCTCCAAGTTGAAGGCTGCTGGCAGCAAGGTCCGGCTGCTGGACGTACCTGCAGTGTATGGGCTACTCAGTGGCGGAGAGGGCAGCCGGCCTGTTGCTGAGGGTATACAGGCCATGACTGGACATCTCGCTCTGGGGCAGTACAAAGGCTTTCTGTACCCATGGAGGACCGATGGGGTGGCTGTGAGCCACCTTCCAACTCTACCTAGATAGAGAAGACCCTGTTGTAACCCCAAACACAAGTGCTCACTAAATTTTCACCAACTGTTGCTGAGTCTACTGTGGCTAAGTGGGAGGTGAGGGGTAACCTTAGGCACCACTGGTGTGTGTAGGGTGTCACTGCGCCAGTCTCACCCCTGGTGACCACTGTGAGCAGGTTGACCCCAGCCCGTGGGCACAGTCCAGGGTGGTCAGGCTTTGGTCTCCAGTTCCTTGAGCCCTCTGGGTGCTGACCAGTTAGAAATGGGTTGGAGGGTGGTCTTGGGACATGAAGCTCAGGTAACACATGACCGTCACACTAGGGCAAAGCACCTGATGCCTACAGCTGAAAGGAGGAAAGGTTTATTTCACAGCTTTTGTGGGCTCAGCTCGTGGCATGCCATGACAAAGCAGAGATAGCTGAAGGGGCTTGGGCCTAGTGGGGGGCCCTGTCCTCCTCATGGCCATCAGGTAGCAAAGAGAGAGAAGGGAGGATCCGGAAATGGAATGCTGTACTCCCTTCCTGGTCACACTGCAGTGACCTGATCCTGTGCCCTGGGCCCACCTCCTCATAGCCAGGGTGCTATGAGCCCATTAGTGGCCTGGGTTTAGCCCCACCATCCAGTCACTTTCCGAATAAACAAGATCATGAGAGGCATTTAGGCCCCTACCCCGGCCTGGCTTGGGGGCTCTGTGCTCAGCCCACCTGCAGGAGTTAGCCATTCAGGGGAAGGAGACTGTCCAGGAAAGAAGAGGCTTCCTGGGGCACAGATCCTGGAGCCTGTACTCGGGGCCAGCCTAGGCCACAATGAGGAAGAGTCCAGTGCCTGTGTCTCAGATCCCCATGGGCCAGGCAGCTCTGCTCTGACCTTTGCCTTCCATGGCACTCCATGCCCACCCAGTGCCAGCCTCCTTCCCAGGCATGGACACAGTACCAGCCCTCAAGCCAAGAGGACTGAGGTGAAAGTGGCCCTGGTGAATGCCTCCCTCATTGCCCTGGACACAAGACCCAAGCAGGCAGGCAGCAGGGCCAGGGCTGGGGAGCTGTCCGGAGGCATCCCCATAGATGTCAGGGACAGGGCAGCCTGGACGGGGTGCCTGGTGCAGACAACGCCGGAAGGGGCAGGAGGAGGCTGAGCCATGAGTGGAAGTGGACACCACTTCTCGTAGTGTCCAGGCGGCTCACAGGAGCAGAAGGTACGTGTGGGGTTGTGGTAGCTTGGCTGGCAGTCCCCCACTGACAGGGACCTCCTGTGATGGCTTTGGGCCTGATGTGGAAGGTGGCACGGGAGGAGTGATTATTTTTTATTTTTAGGGACTGGTCTAGAGGGTGTTCAGGGTCTCACTACTAGATTGGACTTGCAGTGATCCACCTGTTCACAACCTCCCAAGCACTGGGATTACTGGTAGGCGCCACCACGCTCAGTCTCAACTGCTGTCTCAGTGTGCCCAGGGGGTGTGTTTGTTTCCTATCCCTTTTTCCTTCCCTTGTTCTCCTTTGAATATTTTCTTCCCATTTCCTGATATCTGCTATGCATATAGGTCTTTATTTACACTTTGTTTCTCTCATCAGAGAAACACCTGAAATTCGCAGGAGTGTCCAGTTTCACTGAAGAGTAAGTCTCAAGGTGCATCCATTTAGCTAGAAATGTCTCAAGCTTATCCTTCGCGTTAGAGTGGCACTCCGCTGTGCAAACAGAACAACATAGCCCCATCTTCTTTGTCCATCCCTTGGTTGATGGAGAAACCAGGGCCTAGATTTAGCTAGCACAAGCTGCTGCTATACACAGTGTGTATGTCACTATGATACAGTGCTGTTAATTCTTCCAGGAAGATGCTGTTTCAGCAGGGAAAAGCACTCAAAGCCCAAGGACAAAGAAGTGATGGGTAGGGGCCGGGAGATAGCTCAGTAGAATAAGCACTTGCCAAGGGCCTCAGTTTAATCCCTGGTTCCTCCATTAAAAAAAAAAAAAAGTGATGGGTCCGGCCCATGTGGACAGTGACTGATTCACCATGGCGTCTCCACAAGGCAGCAGTGAGCCCGGAACAACTACCGCCTCTTCTTGCCAGCACTCCCTTCATCCAGCGAGCCAAGATGATCTACCTCCAGGACGATCTCCAATGAGCGCTCACAACGTCATCACCTCACTTCCCAGGGTCCCGCCCCCTTTAGGAACCTATAAATACAGCTGCCCTCCACTGGTTGGGCCCCGAGAGTTCCCGTGTCTTCCCCAGCAGGCCTCCCGTGTCCGCAATAAAAGTCTCTTTTACCTTTCCTGTCTTTTTGCTTTGCCGCTGCCATCGCCGCTGGATGAATTCTTATCAGAAAGCCAGTGACTGCCGGGCGTGTAGCTCGGCGGCACAACGCTCACCTAACGACAGGTCACGAGTTCGAATTCCAGTGCCCACAAATAAAAAAAGGCCAGTGACTGACATTCTGATGCTGCGTCAGGAGAACAAAACGTCAGCTGCGGTTTGGACTTTACTCCTAGGTGATACACTTTCTAGGTTTCCATAGCAACCACGTATCTTTCTATTTCATGTCAGGAATTTTGCAATACATGAGGTTTGCATTTCCTAGACAGAGCTGAGCATCTGCTAGTCATGGGACGTTGTGGTTTAACATTTATCTTCCTAATTTGTTTTGTTTGTTCTTATCGAGCTACATGGGAGGGGGTAAGGAAGTAAATTAGCTACAGTTTAAGTGCACGTAAGTGAATTTTATTATCATCATCACTATTATTATTATTTATGTATTTGGTTCAGGGTCTCACTGTGCAGCCTGCACTCAGTGATCATTCCGTTTTCAGCCTCCCGGTGCTGGGATTATAGGTGTGCGCCTCCACACCGGCCTACTGTTCATGAATTAATATTTAGGTGTTGGATTCATTTTTATTTTAGCTTAGTATTTGGTGAAAGATGTGGGTCTAGTGGAAAGCCAGTTTTTCCAGCACTATTTATTTATTTGCGGAACCAGGGACTGAACTCAGGTCCTCGCTCTTGCCAGGGAAGCTCTTAGGCCACTGAGCCATCTCCCCGGCCCCGCCAGCACCATTTATTAAAGAGGCTACTTCTCTTCCAATGAAGGTGTTTGGCTTCTTTGTCAAAGGTCATGTGGCTTCGGGGGCCGGGGAGATGGCTCAGTGGAATAAGCACTTCCCTGGCAAGCGCAAGGACCTGAGTTCAATCCCTGGTTCCGCCAAAAAAAAAAAAAAAAAAGAAAAAGAAAAAAAAAGAAAGAAAGTTAAAGGTGATGCGGCTGAGTGTGATGTTTGGAGTTGTTTCTGCAGCTTCTAATCTACTCCATTAATCCTTGCATCTGTCTTTTATGCCAGTACCATGCTGTTTTTATCACAGTAGCTTTGTAATATAATTTCAAGATAGGGATTGTGAGGCCTCCTGCTTTGCCTTTGTTGCCCATAGTTAATTGCTTTTGTTATTCTAGGTGTCTGGTTCCAAATGAATTGTAAAATTGTTCTCTCTAATTCTGTGAGATATACTGTTGGTATTTTGATCAGGATTCCATTAAATCTGTATAACGGTTTTGGAAGTATGGTCGTTGTCATGATACTGATTCTTCTACCCCAAAACAAGGGATATCATTCCATTTTATGACATCCACTTTTGTCTCTTTTCTCAGGGTACTGTAGTTACAGTATAAAGGCATTTTTTTTTTTCAGAACCGGGGATTGAACTCAGGCCCTTGTGCTTGCCAGGCAAGCGCTTATTCTACTGCGCTATCTCCCCAGCTAGTATAAAGGCATTTTACAGGCCAGTGAGATAGCTCAGTAGAATAAGTACTTGCCTGGCAAGTGCAAGGTCCTGAGTTCAATCCCTGGTATCGCCAAAAAAAAAAAAAAGACATTTTACTTCATTAGGTATTTCATCTTTTTGGATGCGAGTGTGAAAGGTGTGGTTGCTCTAATTTTCTTTCAGTGAGTTTGATATTTGTATACAGGAATGCTATTGATTTTTGAGTGTTACCTTTGTATCCAGCTAAGCTACTGAATTTAGTTATTAAATCTAGAAGTCTTTTAGTGGAGTTTTTGGGGTCTTCTACTTAAAGTGTCATGTTATCTCTAAATAATCACAATTTAATTTCTTTTCCTATCCTTATTCCTTTTATTTCTTTTTCTTGTCTAATTACTCTAGATAATGTTTCCAGAACTGTATTGAACAAGACTGGTGACAGCGGACGTCTTTTCTTGTTCCAGATGTTAGAGTGAAATCCTTCCGTTTTTGTCCATTTGGTATGATGTTGGCTGTCGATTCGTTATAGAATGCTTTTATCAGATTGAGATAAATAAAGACCATCTATTTCAATTTTCTATAGGGTATTTATCATGAATGAGTGTTAGACTTTGTCAGTTGCTTTTACTGCACCTACTGAGACGGTCATATGGTTTTCATTGCAGGCTCTGTGGACAGCATGTGTTATAGTTATTGATTTGCATATGTTGAACCCTCCCTGCATCCTGAGATGATTCCTACTCGGTCCTGGTGTACGATCTTCTTGACGACTTGCTGCATTCTTTTTGCCAATATCTTACTGAGGACTTTTTTCCTTTTTTTTTTTTTTTTCCCCCAAGACAGTTTCACTACACAGTGCAGGATGGACTTGAACTCATTTTGTGGCCCAGACTGGCCTTGAACTCTGTGATCCTCGTGTCTCAGCCTTCCAAGTGCTGGGATAATAAGTGTGCACCACCAGACCTGGCTTCTATTGAGTTTTTTTTGCTTGTGTCTTTTTGAGATACAGTCTTACTGTGCAGCTCAGCTGGCCTTGAACTCCCTCTGTACCGATGGCTGGCCACCACACGCAGCTCTTTCTGAGAGTTTTTGTGTCTATATTCATTAGGACAATTGGCCTATAGAGCTCTTTTTTTGATTTTGGTATCAGGGTAATGCTTGCTTCCAGGAATGAATTTAAGAGTTTGAATTTCATTAAAGAGTCTGAAAAATAGTGGCATAAGATCTTCTCTAAATTTATT